CTTCCTAAAGCAACATTGTCGTAGCTTCTGATAACCGACACGGTTTGGAGTTCCAGAGGTCTACTCATGTTGGACATCTCGGCGTTTACTGCTTTGCGGGTACTCTAACTATAGTCGCAGCAGCACGAAGAAAGTCCACCGTAAGGCAAGTTGGAGCACGGACGAAAAGCGGGAAACAGGCTTCAGAACCCTATACTTGCTTCAGACTTATTGACGATGCTTGCCCACAGCCCATCCTTAAGTCATGAAAGAGCGACAAAAGCGGCAGAAGAGCTTTCAAAAGCTGAGAAAGGTATGAAGGGAGAAACCGGAAGGCGCAGTGCCCTTTCAGAAATACATATTTCTCAACCACAGCATTAGTTGTAGATAAAGTGAACTGGCAATCACGCGAAATGTTCAAAACTAGCAGAGAAAGGGGTACCGTTTGGTCCGGCTTAACCCAATAAATCGTTCCACATAATCAGAAAAAAATCAGAACGCGAATAAGACTGGTACAGATGTCGTGAATGAGGAACGTCTTTGTATAGGAAATGGCTTGTACCACTGTTAGTACCTAGAGCGGCTGCGGGGCCCCTGCTCGCACATTGTTGAGCTTAAACATATTTTGGTGGGCACAGAAATGTAAATTTTCGACTTAATTTGTCTGAAGGTAAACAAAAAGAGGAAAAACGCCGAAAATTTGGGAGCAACAAGCGGCTTTTCGTGCTTGTGTCAAGCGCGGCAGCTGCGGCTCTTCAGCAGTGACCTGTGGAGGGATACTTATGCTTTTTGCACCGTGAGTACACTATTCGCACAACGAGAACTCTTTGAGTTTTTCTTTTCTTGCTGCGGCGCCTTCGGCGCCTCCGTATGGCCTGCAGAGGCATCCGTTTTCGATCTTGCGGAGGCTGCTCAAAGGTGCAAACCGTGGGATCGCTAGGTGAACGAACGCGCAAAGCCAACGCCGTTTGTAGCTACAGAGGGAGAAGACGCAGGATAAGCATCTATACGCTGGCCTTGTGGCATCTGTGAACCTTTGAAGTCCAACCTGGTTTCTTTACAAGCAGATGGAATCAAAAATTGAGGATGGGACGCCCCAAGGGCGAGTCCGTGAAGGGAATCCACTGTTGTCTTCCCGCAAAAAGGCGAAGAGTGCCGTGTTGCTTTCTATCCAAAGCGACATAGGCAAGGGCATCATATATAACATCCGTTTGTCAAGGTGGTATCTTGCTTACTGCTCGCTCATGGCCGTCGCGACACTGTCCCTTGTCATTTTCATGATCATAGATGTGCACTTTGTAAGACAAGTCGGGGGGCCGCTTGGCCTTTTCTAAGCTCTGAGGCGCGACCACTAAACCTGAAATGAAGGCTGGCACTGTGACATTTGCGCCTGCGTGAAAACAGCCACAGTTGTTTCTCATTGCTGCAGCCGTAGTCGTTGCTTCTCTATTTCTGCTATGTACCACTTCGCATAACCACGTCCGCTGTCGTTACCATTTGGGGCAGCTGCTATTGCTTCGGCAGTGGCTTTTTCCTTGACTGGGAGACGCTTTTGCATCTAAAGGCTGAAGGCTTATGATTGAGGTTGCAAGACCTGTGATCTTTGCTTTGCATTCAGCGTAAGAACCCAGTGCCCGTGTGGGTGTGCGCTTTGGATGGCTTTATAACCTTCGCTGTTTGCTTCGAGACCATAGTGGACATGATCCTCCTCGGCAAGGTAATGAATCGGGTGCAGGAACATTTGATCCCCCCATCCACAGCAGCAGCGGAGGCTGTGAGCATTGGGCACGAGGCCTAGGATTTATGCGTCAGTGTCTCAAAGCTTTGCGTTCACCTGTTCTGCGCAGCCGTTCTGGACGAGCGGGTGGCACGTGTTTGATTTTGCAGTTTCCGTCGTTTGTTTTATCAGCTGGTTGCTTCTGCTCTTGGAGGTGGTAAGATATTTGATTTTCGTGATTAGCGCCTTCAGGGATAACAGCCAACAGGGTTGATTTTGAAGGTTGACTCCACAAGTCCGAAGTCGTAGTGCATCAGCTTGTACGGATTCATGTAAACAGGGGAGAGGAGATTTAAAAAAAAGCAGTGGCAGCAGTGGCATGGAGACAGTGCTGACAGTTGCTGCTCTAACAGTAGCACATTTCTTTCGTTATCTGTGCCGTGGCAATGGACAACTGTCAAAGCTGCAATGGTCATGCAGGGAGCGATTCAGGGTAAGGCCCACGCTGGATTGTCACGATTGAAATTGTGTGGCATATTTTCAGGTTGGAGTTGTTGAATCTCTGGACGAGTTTGTGACCGTCATTCTACTCACCATAAGATACGCTGCACAGTTTGTTCGGTAGGTCGATGTGCTTTCGCCTTCTTATTTTTGTCCCTTTTGTTTTGCTTATTCATCCCAGCATTTTCTCTTTCCTCTTGCTTTTTATGTCCAATGTCGTGCGGCCCTGAAGGCTGCATGCTCCTGTCGGCTGACTCGTGTTCTGCGTTTCTTTTGGTCTTCCCAGACATTTGCGTTCTCTGGAACTCTTATGGCATACACGGCAATTCTTTTGCTTGCCTTTGTGTGTCGGTGTCGTAGAATCGTGCGATACATTCGGACAGGAGCCGAGGCACAGGATTCGTTGAGTGCGATGGAAGAGCACGTCATTCGCTTCGACAGACCGGCAAGCAGAGCTGACCCATCTCTCTCCACTGCGATCCCAGCAGCAGGAGACATTGATTTCTAAGCGGACGCTGCTAGACTTTTGCTACTTCTACAGCTTCAGCGGCTACACCAGCATCAAAAGGCAGCTGTTCATGCTGAGTTATCGTGGCAGAAGGAGCCAGCTACCGCATGCTGCTGGCTTGTCTCACCGTGGTGTTTGCGCGGCCATGTTGCTGGAGCAGCTTGACGCAGCATGCTGCTGCAGCAGTCATTCTGCTGCTGCAACCAGTCTGCTCCATCTGTCAATCTGCTATAGCGTTCTCTTTTATGCAGCATTTGATTCCCATGTGCACACACTTGACTGCAGGACGCAGTCTACTGCAGCACGCAGTCTACTGCAGCACACACTCTGTCGTAGCACTCATTAACTGCAGCACTTACTATACTGCAGAAGTTTGCTGCCGTGTGGCTCACGTCTGCAGCACATGCTTTCTCGCCGTTGCCAGTGACGAAGCGTGTGGCAAACGGTTAGACGTGTACGCCTTGCCAATACATCCAGTGTTGTAAGGTATCCAATCGGCCTCTGAATTTTTGTGCGTGCCTCAGGGGCACTGGTTTATCTCTGTGTTACTCCCAAGGCTCGTTTTTATTATTTCGAAAGCTATAAGAGTGCCGCATTATTTTTATGGGGCCTAATGGGGTACTGGTGTATAGCTGTGGGGCCAGCGGTTGGCTGAGGAGCAGCAGCGGCCCTGCCAGCTAAAAAGCGTTTATGTTTATGCATGCGAGAACAATCCTCCCTGAAAATTCGTCGTGTATTGGCCCTGGTCAAGCAATTCAAGAGTAGAGAATTGAGCCCCCGGTGCGCAGCGTTCGTTTTGGCTAGGGGTGTTTAGCTGGCTGGACTGGAGGTTTATCGTTGAAGGTGCAACATCAAGCACTGCGAAAGTAGGTTTGAATCACACCTGTTCAGAGGCAACGTGACGGGAATTTAGGGTTTAATTTTCAAGTTTTGGCTTTTCTATTTGGCTAATGACTAGAAGTGTGCAAGGGAACAGAATGTCGGAGGTGAGGCGGATGTTGCGCGAAAGGCAGTTAGCTTGGGCCTTACATAACCGCCTTCATCTTGCACAGAGAAGGAAGTAGCAAGGATGATTTTAAGGTAAAGACGCACACGGCTAGGCTGGGTGGTCCCCACGCTGAAAGGCATGGCTGGTGCATGTAGGAAGTGCATCCTGTTCTAGTTGCAGTTGCTCTATATAGTGAGCTTTTACTGCATGCGCAATTTAGGTAAAATACTTGTTTTTTGAATACTTTATGGCGAGCGCTATAAAGTGCACTTTAGTCGCCGTTACTCCGTCGTCGATTCTAATTAAAACGGAATCTAAGCCTATTCGCCGCGCAGTCATCGCCTTCCGCGCCTTTGCTGAATTATATCACCTGAAAACTTACGGCTGGCTGAGTGCTCCGCGTGCTCTTATATTATATAATTGGGTATGTTTGTGATTGTTTTACTACACAACTCCACTAATGCAACTACTGCATGACTTGTTATTCTGATTGCAGGTTGGGTGCTGTGCACCTGTAACGAAATTTCTTAGTTTACGTACGCATTTACATGTTCTGTTACTTTGAAGTCATAAAAATCTGCGACTATCTGAAGCCTAGGTGCGACTGCAGAGTTACCCGTGCGCTGCTTGCCCCAAGATCCCAGCTCAACCCGGTGAAAGACAACGATGCCCTGTCTTCCATACATATTCTTTTCGGTTAAACTTACATGCTTCTTGATAACAAATGTATTTGCGCTGAGAGTATCCTTCTATATTCTCGAGCCCTTTCTGTCCACTTAATTCGACTGCCAGCCATGTCTACAGCACACTAGCATGCTCCGGAGAAGCAGCCCCAATGCATCTGCCCGTCTTTTCGAGGCTTAACCACAATCCTATGGCCGCTAAAGATTAATTTTTCTTGCTCTACTCAAAAACCTTATTCCTTGCTTCGCGGAGGCACAGCTGCCTTATCTTTGCGTTGCAGGAGCACTGCCGTTAGGCACATTCCTGTCCCTGTCTTCTGTTGAAGGTGCCCCTGGCCAGCTGCACACGACTCTACGGGAATGTTTGCACCAGAAATACAAACGGCCTGGAGTAGGCATAGCCGCTGGGGCGGCAACAGTTGTGGCGGCATCAGCAGTGTCAATAGTTGGGGCGGCTGCACGTTGAGCACCGCTGACGGCCTAGCTGCGACAGCAGAAGCGTTCGCTTCTTCTTAATAAGCCGCGAATTTCGCTGTTCACACATCTGTTGCAACTGCTCTGGTGTTGCTGCTGCGCCTGATTGGGCGCCTGCGCATAGCCAGCTTTTCAGGTAGCTAGCTAGCTATGGAAGCGCCCTCTGGAGATACTTTGGTCCCGCTGCAGCGGCCCCACTTGCTTGTTATTCAAAGACACAAGGCCTACGGTATCAACGGCAGAGAGCGACACAGTGCCAGTAACGACAGATGTAGCAAAAGCAGCAGCGAAACTGCTGCATCCGCTATAGGAAAGCTAGCAGCGAGCTTTCTGCCGCTTCACTCCCCGTACCCACATCCACGAGGCGCTAACGAGGGCGCACGTCCGCCTGCGCGGCCGTCACCCCATGGTGCTCAAACAGCTGCAACCGCAATTGTAGACACAGCGGCTGCGGCGGCAGCAGCAGTAACCGCCGCGGCTGCCACGGCAGCTGCCGCAGCAGCAACGGCAGCAACACGCTGCACAATAACCAGGGCTGCATACGCAGCCGCACACTCATGCAGCACCCATAACTGGTCTTGCCCTGTCCGTTCGGTGGACCACGGGCCTCAAGCGGGTTCAGATGTGCCCGAGGGCTCCGTAAGGCTCCCGCCACGGCCTCGGGTGCTGCAGCAAGAAACTGGGCAAACCGTAGCAGTACAATCACGTGGTACACTTTGCGGCCAATCAGAGCCTGCCAATATGGCGGGGAGAATGCCCGACAGCTGCCCAAAAGTGGCAGTAGCAGCTGCGGCTGCGGCTGCTGAGCTGCAGACACCGTGCGACCGGCGATGCGGCAACAAAAACAGCGGCAGCAGCAGCAGAAGCAGAAGTAGCGACGGAATTAGGGCTGGTAGTCGTTCTTCATGGCACTATATGCTACGGCCCCAACAACTTTGGCGGAAGAAGCAACAGCAGCAGCAGGAAAAACAGGAGCGCGTTTGTCGTGCAGTGAGTGATTACGGGAGCTGCCATGGCTGCTGCAGCTCCACATGCCGTTCCAGCCTCACAATCAAGCCTCAGCAAGAGCTCTCTGCAAGGTTGACGTCCCGTTCTGGTGGTTTGTCTACTGCTGCTGCTGTTTCTGCGCCTGCTGCTGCAGCCGCTGTCGGAGATAGCCCTTCTCCTGTTGTAGCAGTGAGCACCGCAGCGGGCCATAATCTTGGAAAGCGACACTCAGCAGAAGCAGAGGCAGCAGTAGAACCACCAGCAAGGCCTGTCAGCCCCGCTTCAGCTTGCTGCGGGCAGCTGGTCTTGTCAAGTACAAAATGGGGACCCCAGTTGCTGCAGAGCAACTGGGGTGCACAACTGAGGCTTGCAGCTGATACCTCCTGTCGTTCAGGACATCGTGATAGGAGCCCCACTGCAACACAGAGAAGCAGCAGCACTGGAAGCTGTAACTGCAACAGTGGCAACAGAAACAGAGCAGCAACGACAACGACAAAATTAGTGGCAACAACGACAGTACTAAGAGCAAAGCATGGCGATTTGGAGGTGCCTGCGTCCAGGGTTCCGCCGAACGTGGTTAAGCAGCCACCCAACCAGCAGTCTCGTCTCCAGTGTCTAGAGAATTCGCGTCACCACAGGATGCGTATGAAGGAGCAACGAGTCCAGGAGCAGCAGGAGGAGTATCAACAAGAGCACCTGCAGCCGAGAGAGGAGCAGCAGTTGCAGAAGTTGCTGCAACACCCCCAGAAGCTACGGCAGCACAACATGCGCAAGCAGCAGCAGAACGGGCTGCAGCAGCATTGTATTGTTGCCGATGTTCTATGCACAACAGAAGACAAGGCACGAAGTAGATGCACCTCCAAACAGCAGCAGTCACCTCAACTCCTATACGAACCGCAGCAACAACAGCAGCTGCAGATCACCGCATTAGAAGGAACTGAAAACACTACTGGGTCTGAGAATTTGAAGGCCGCAGCAGAAAAGGTCGTTCCTGCCGCGGCTACCGCAACGGAATCCACTACAGTGGCTTCTTCTGTGGCAGCATGTGCCTGCGGAGAAGCCACAGCTGTTGATGTTGCAACTCCAGCGCCTGTTGCTTCTTCTGCTCCGCCTTCAGAGCCAGCGAATAAGGAAGCCGACCTCTGCGCACAGGGCAGGAGAACGCACGAGAAGAAGCCACAGCAGCATCAGCCGAAAGAGCGACGGCAGCTAAAGCAGCTGCTCCAGCAGCGACACCTGTACGCTACCATCGTGGTGGAGCGCATGTGCCGGGTGTTGCATCGATCTGCATGTCGCCGGTCTTTCAGGTTGTTGCTGATGCATGCGGTGCAGCAGCATGCACTCCAACCGAAGTTAATACACCAGCTAGAGCAGCAGTGCCAGCCAAAGCAGCAACAACAGCCACAGCAACAGCAGCAACAAGAGCAGCTGCAGCAAAAGCAATGGCAACAGCTACAGCAGCGCAGCCAGTGGATCGACGCTGATCTGCAAAGTCTCTCACTTCACGATGAAGTAATTAGCAGAGAGACTTTCATGCGGCTGGAGGATTACCGAAGGCGACTTCGGCTGCAGCAGATCCGCCTGAAACACGAGCAGCAACAACAGAAGCAGCAGCAGCAGCAACAGCAGAAGCGGCAGCAGCAGCTTATTCAACAGCTCGCCACTGCAGCGCAGGAGCTTAAGAAGGCAAATGATCAGCAAGAGGCTCTGCAGGGGCGTCTAGCTACAGCCCTTTCTCGGCTACAACACTTGGAGCAGCAACAGCACCAGCTGCAGCCGAGGTAGCAGCATCGTCAGTGCGTGCACTAGCCTTCTGTATGTCGAGCAAAGAAGGCGGCCCCTATGCCACATGAAAGGAGTCCCAACAGAAAATTTTGGTTTGGCCCTTCGCGAATCCATCTCTTCGCTGTTCTTGCCGCAGCTTCTGGACAGAATCGCCGTTGCCGTATGGTGGCAGCATAGTGACACTGGCTGCGCAGTTACCCCTTTTGCTGCTTTTCCGATGTTAGCTGCAGCGGTTGCACCGTCTGCTTCAGTAAATGCAGCAAGCAGCGAGGTTGCTGCAGCAGACAGTCCAACCTAAGCCGACCTGAACACATTTGTTTTGCTGATGAGGTGCACGGACACCTCTGACCGCGATAACTGTTTGGCTTAAGCTTCCTCGTTTTGGGTGGTAAGTACGAAGAATAATGATTTGTGTTTTAATGTGCTACTTCCGATGTATATTTTCTCTCTGAAGCACGTGCTGTGGCTACTGTTTTGCTGCTGCTGCTCGTCGCGCTTTTTTGCTACTGGCCATTCTACTTGCTTTTAAAATATGCCTAGCAAAAAGTCGTGCGTTCTTTACAACGTGGCATACGAAGAGGAAGGCTACGATTTTCAGCACCGAAGCCGAAGCCGCTGCAGCACAAGCTGCTGCCACCGGTATTGGCATGGCTGGGACCTTCTTACTTGTCCGCAAACAACGCAGCAGCAAAACGCCCCTCACGAATGGCAAACAAATAAAAGGGATAACAGATACCGACGGGTCCGCATCTTGCAAAGGTTGCCACTGGCCATCTTGTACTAAAAGTAAAACAGCTGGCGCCAGCTCACATATCAGCATACCTGCTGGTCTCTGGTGGCACCTCTAGGCATAATAGTAGGTGCCTTCAAGGTGCCTACGCGGGTGTGTCTGCTCAGGGCGATGAGAAGTAATTCGTAGGACTTCTCATGCAAGCCCCATGAGCACTCCTCAGAGGCTGCCCTGGAAATTAACGTGTAAGATCGCTCTCTAGAGATGCTTTAGGCCAGAATGTCTGTAAGTATCCAGCGAGGTCGTGCACCCTGCAGCACCATTCCTGTAGCAGCTTACCAGTGGTAACTGCTTCCTCATTTTGTGCAATCTTCAGCTGCGCGTACGCTCCAAACACAGCTGCATCTGCTACAGTAGCAAAAGAAATACGGCCCCGCAAACACAGCAGCAGCCGTAACAGGTACACACCAACAGTAGCGACAGGATGACGGAACGCACCCTCAGCACCTGTGCTTCATCATCAATAAGGGCAGGAAGTTGACCCTCACGTATGACCTGCGCAAAGTGCGCACATCTCACAGACAAAACACATCATATTTTGATGAGCTGACGAGTATAGTGCGGGCCGGTAGGATGAGACAAAGGCAGACTAACGCTGCTGCAGCACGCTAGTGGTGCTGCAGAGCTCCAATTGCAGCAACGACAGCAGCAGCGCTGTGAAGTGCTGGAGTATCGGCACAACGGAAAGACGAACACTGGAAACAGCAGCAGTAGTTGGGAAAGGAGCAGCTTCAGCGTTGGCCGGAGCCAGGCACACCTGCAACAGCAAGTGGCGTGTCTCTTCGCCTGAAAGGCGCAGTGTCTGCTGCAACCTCAGGAGCGGAAAAGCCGAGTAGAAATTAGCAATGGCCCTTAGGCGCCTCAACCTACAGAAGCAAACAAACGAAGGTCCCATTTTCTCATTCTCATTCTAGAATCTTGAAACGGATATTCCCACACGGACTAACTGAAAACGGAAATTCCGGTCTAGAATACGCACCGTACGGCTTGTAGCAGGGCGCCGCCACATTGTAAAGCGAAAGGGTCCACTGACTCAAGTACTTGCAGATGCTGTTAACGCATCACACGCATCGTCAAGCAACGACCACTGAACCGTAGGCCCCCTTTGGATGACTGCAATGCGGAGACCTTAAGATTTGGCGGTTTGGCAAGGAACTCCCCTGGAGATGGCTATAGGGTTTAGAAGCTAGGGCTTATAATTCAGCAGCAAGTTCTAAACGTTTAGCAGTGACGCTTTAGGTTCATAAATCGAGCGCTTCATAGCTGACTTGCCATCGACGCTGTTAAGGACTAAAGCTTAAAGCATTTCAAGTTTCTGGACCACAATTTAAAATTTGTTAAAATATGACGGCTTAATGCACCTTCTCGACGCCTGCAACGTCATTTGCCTCGAACGCCGCCCGCAGCGCCTTCGCCGATTGCACGTCTGGGTCTCCCTGCAGAGGATGCAACAACAGCATCAGCAACAGTGGGAGCACACAACGAGCATTTTTCACGCACCGCAGCAATAAGAGGCGAACTAAAGGCACCCAGTGCATCACAACAGCAACTAATGCATTTGTGAAGGGAAAAACATCACTGACACTGCAGCATTGGCAATGGCTAGGCCTAACGCTGCTGCAGCAACAACAGCACACCTGCAAAGCTTTTCCTTCTCTCGTACTGAAAGGGTCAACATCGGAACCAGCCAGAGGAGCAGAAAGGACCGCACGTCGCAGTGCAGCTGCTGCAGCCCTGCATGTCAGTGAAGCCCCAAACCCTCATTTGAAAGTACGATGTCTAGGGGAAGGAGAAGGAAATCCGGATAATTCATATATCCTGAGGCTCCACCCAAAAATGCTGTGGGCAGGCCACTGGACTTGACGCTTGGGGTTCGACAAAAAGCCTTTTCAGTTTAGGGGGATGGAATGCATTACCGGGCATCTCCGATCTCCTGATGGTGCCGAAACGCAGCCATAAGGTGCGCATGAATATCAGTCCATGGCTGGTGCTGCTCCTCTGGCTCCTGCTGGTCATTTTGCTGTTGCTGCCGCTGCTGCAGGTCGGAGCGTCCGTGCAATTCTATGAGGAGCCGAGCCCCACACTCTCGGACTGCTGCTGCACTACGGGGATCCAGGGAGGCTGCTGACAACCGCAGAGCGTGTGGCAGCAGCTGCTGCAGCAACTTCCAATCTCGACCGTACGTGCAGCAGAGGACTTCGACTGCTGCTGCTTCCAGCTGCTGGTGGGGTGGCAATGAAGGGTCGCGGCCCGCCTGGTGAACCCCAGGCAGTAAATCTTCAGCCTGTGAGCACACACGTGACAAGAATTTTGCACGAAATTGGACACAAAATCGCAGTCTAAGCATCCCCAATAAAGGCTTGAGTTGAACTGTGGAGGCCCTCTAGGGGAGCTTTCAGAGTAGCTCCCTGCGCGCGTTTGGAAGTGATTTGAAAATCCCGAGGGCCCAAAACAGCAGCACATGTACTAGGAAAGCAACAAAGGATTAGAACTCCTGCTTGGGGTCCACGGTTTACGGCAATGACGGCAAGTGCAGCTATACCTTGGTCCATTCCCCCAGCTGCATGTACAGTCGCAGTAGTTGACTGCATACATGGGCCCGCAGGCGCTGCAGAGTCAATACACAGACAATTAAGCTCCTTAAACAGCTCCTTAAACAGCTTCTACAAAGCTTTGCATAGTAGCTCTCGTGTGTCTGGGAGGAGAAGTCCACGCTCCCAGTCACATTCCCAGAGGTTGGGACAAACGGTTTGCTTGCCTTGAGACCCTGAGATTCTAGGGCGTCCAGCGTGCACAGCATAAGTTCTTCCAGCTGTCGCTCCCCTTCTCCCATACGGTGCCCGCCCTGGTCAGCATCACGGGGAACTCGGGGGCCACCAGGGTCCCTTAACTCGTCATCTATAGGCAAGGAGGCTCCTGGTCCGGACTGGCGAGGACTTCTACCATGCTGGAAAATGTCGCCTTTGTCGCATTGCTGCTCCTGTTTTTGTTGTAGGTGGAGGTTCACACCTCTGCCCTGCTGCTGCTGCTGCTTTTTACTGTCCTGCTGCTGCAGCAGCGGGACGGCAGCAAACACGTCAGGTAGTCCATCGTACTGCCGAATGCCTACAATTTTAGTTGCTGCAGATAAGACTGCCTCTACTGCCGAGGTTGCTTCGCCAGAAGCAACGGCAGACAGCAGCTGCAACAGCCGACGGTAGTGTGCACCTGCTCGCAGGAAATCTCCTGTAACGGCCACAGCAACAGCTATAGCGGTTAAGAGAATGGCGGTGCAGCAACAACCCCAATAAGGTGACAGTGGTATCTGAAGAACCAACGGCAACAGCAGCAACAGAGTCAAAAGCAGCAGCACCAGCAGATGCAGCCGTCGTACCTCCTCTGAGGAAAAGCAGCGTGAGAGACAGCAGTGACTTGAAAGACCAGGGCCGTTGTGCTGCTTCTGCCTCCCGCTGCAGCACCTCTTCAAGCAGAGCGACGGCCTGAGAACGCAAAACCTAAACTTTGAGCCCCCATCTCAAAACTTACATGCCAGCTGCACAGGCTTGCCTGATCCTGAGTCCGCGTGTGCACAGCCTCGGCGGCAGCCGGCTTGGCAGTGCCCGTGCGCTGTGTCGTAATACATTGATTGCGCACGGTGCGTGGCCCTCATGCATCCCATGAAACCTAGATAGCGGTTAAGAGTCTAGAATTATGTTGCTGGCATTTCCCCATCATAGAAGAGCAACAGCTCAAGCTCCGGGAAAGGCTTGTGCTGCTGCAGGAACTTTCATTTAATATTTAAAATCAGGATCTAAAGTTTGCCTTTTCAGGTTTCGACTGCAAGCAGTCTTGGGCCTCATAGTAAAGGTTCTCTATAATCACTGCCGTTTCCTCCTCGGGACCCCATGGGCCCCCATCAGACTCATACTCAAAGTCATACTCGTCCTCCATCACATGAGGGTTCTCCTGATCTTGTTGCAGTTTCTGTTGGTGCTCTTGATCGTGCTGCTTGTACAGCCCTGCTGCTGTTGCTGATGCTTTGGTTCCACCAGCTGCTCCACGCCTCCCTGCTGTTGCCTTTTCTGTGGACACTCCAGAGATGCAAGTAAATGCGCATGTAATGCTCTCGATTGTGGTGCTAATACTGCTGCTACTGACGGTGTCGTCGCTGCTGCCGCTGTTGCTGCTGCTGTTGCCCTACTGCTGACGCTGCTACTTCCCCCCACCCGGA